GAGTGTTTCTATAACATTGAGCATTATAACCTTCAGTGTACCTTCATAAGACCTCTTAAAGGAAAGTGCTATTTTGCCTGTTGTATAGATAAGAAACTTGTGCACAGACCGTTTAAAGTTTATTTTCCTGTAATATACTATTAGATACCTAAAATTACGAGTCCAGTCTGAGTCAGGCACTCCTACTCCTTCTAGATACACTGGAAATAAACAGGAATCTCCAGGGGTTTCCAGTGGCTTTTGGCCATGACCTTCTCTCTTCATTAACTGAAGAGGATGGCAGTCTGGATAATTCAAACTGCTAAAGCTATGTGGAAAGTACACAGGGATAAGCAACTTGTTTGTCAAAAAACCAAGAGGCTATGGCAGGGCAATAAGTTAAACCCAGGTCTTTCAACACATAGAAGATATTACCCTAATCATTGTTCTTCCCACAAATCTAAAGGGTAACAATTAAGCCACAGCTAAAGTGAAGAGTGGAACTTTCTAAAGGTGAGAGAGGGGTTTAACTTCCCAAAATTAATGGGAAATGCAAGGAAGGCAGATCTCTGAGAATCCCTCATTACAAGGAGCTGCCCTGAGCAGAGAGACTAAAGGCAATCTCTGCTGGAGTCTGTTCTGGTGAATCAGTGCACAGTGTGTAGAGCAGGACTCAGAATGTGCTTCTGTGCAGGCACTTAGAACATAAACGCACCAGAAACAATAGCTTTGGTTTTTGTCTTTGCTCACTTCTCCCATCTCTCCCTCTTATTTAAACTGGTAAGATCCATTAATATCAGTGAACTTATTTAGTGTTAAACCAGAGTGAGAGAGAGAATCAAGACTGAGTTCACCGAGATACAATGATGACTTAGACTGAGGTAAAAGGCTCACACCAAAAATCTCTTACTGAAGCACCAAGTGTGTGCTTAGGAATGGGGGTTCAGACACCCAGATTTACAGCATGAACCAGGCAGGCCTCTTTCAGAATTTATTAACCAGGGATGCCCCCCCTAACAAATTACTTATTTTAAGTCATGATGGAACTGAAAAACACTTTGCTTCTAGGTAAGCCTCACTCAGATGAGGGTAAAGAAATGTCCTAACATAGAAAATAGTGAATCCAGTGGGAAGAAAACAACAAAAGATGAAAAAAAGAACAAACTCACCTGTGCTTCCTTCTCCTTTCATTGCCCTCATTAGCTCATTAGCTCTCTCCTGACAATGGAGTGATTCTAGCAGGTACAATACGTAGTCATCGAACATCAAGTGAATAAGGTGAAAAGACCCTGATAATAAAGTGAACAAACAAAAAAGCCATTGACTGTCTCAATGCACTCATTAAACCAATGATTACGGTATTCAACACAAACACTACTGAGTAGGACTGCCTCCATAAACTACTGTCACTGAAGTATCTCTCCTACTTAGGGTAAGGGAGATCAAAGTAAAACTGAAGACTAGCAAACTCTGTTCACTCCTGGATTTATACAGGCTTATACAACCAATTATTGTGGTTTAGAGTGCAAGGAGGCTGCCTAGCTGAGACCTGGGACTTCTTGGAGTTTTCTTCTCCTATTTTATCATTGAACTATTTAGATAATTACACTACAGTGGAATTGTTTCCTTTTTTCTACAGGACCATATATAAATTTCTGTCAGAAGTAGAATCCTGAACTGGCTGCCTTAGTGACATGTCCTGGTATGAATTTTCTGAACTACCTGTGTCATTGGACAAAGAAATTAGAGACTTTAATTAATAGGAAGGTAAAAACAATCTTCCAAATCTCCTAATGGTATCTGTCTACAAGTGCATTGCCCGGACTGGATGAGACATCCATTAACTGTGGACAGCTATCTGCCACAAATCCTCAAGTAAGATTTGAGTACAGATGGAGAAATTGCTAATATTGTTAGGAGGAATGGCTTGGGTGATGCTATGAACTAGAGAAATGGAAATGAAATGCAATAGCATGCTGTAATAAGCTTTGCCCTTAGAGATTTATATCATCCTCTCATTAATGTACTTCCTCCATAGAAACACAAGTATTAATACTATTGCACAAGGCACTGGTGAAACCTCACTTAGAATATTGCATATAACTCTAGTCACCCGTGTTCAAGAAAAATCAGTACAAGTGGAAACTGGTATGGAGAAGATTAACAAGAGGATGCGGGGAATGGATAATAGGTTTTAAATTACTAAAAATGCACAACTGGCTTATTCTGCAGAAAGGAAGTGAGTTGCTTCCCATAATTTATAAAGAAGGATGCATGTCAGGGATGGTGAAGAAATGTTTGCCCTAGAGCACACACAGCCACAAAATTGGATGTGTAAGAGGAGACCATAGCTGCATTTCAGGGGAAAATTAGAGGAGCAAAGCAACAGAGCGGAGACATTGTGTAGCATCCTCCTGAAAGCAATAACATTCATCTGCAGAGGAAGACTGACGAGTATCAAGATGGAGTTTGGTCAGTTTATGCAATAGACTCCATGACACAGAGTACCTGTATTCGCTCCAGACAGCATCTGATAGTACAATGTTTTGGGGTTTTGTTGGATTGGTTTGGGATTTTTTTTTTTCATTTGTTTGGGTTTTTTAAGCTCCTATGTTTATTTAGACTTGCATGGAGTATTTAAAGCATGTTCATGTAAGTCATTAAATAAATCTGGCAACTGCAAATGCAACCAGGTTAAAATAACAGCAGCTCTAGCAGCTGACTTAAACCAGAGAAAGATCACCAGCTGAGAGGTAAACACAGATCAGCTACTACTAGACAAAAAGAAATGCCTCATCTAGATGTGTTCTTTTTGAAATTCCATTACTACGTTCTGAGGAAGAACACTTCCATGGGAAAAAGATGTAACAATTTTAAAATTCAATCAAATTTCATAATGATTGGTTTCTTCACAGGGAGGTTATGTTTATCTTGGGATACTCACTTTTACCATGACAAAGCATAACTTCCCCTACTCCAAGTTCTCTACTCAAACGTACTGTTGAAGGGCAGAAGAAGTTGTTTGAAAGGCTCTCTATCCTTATACAATTCTAGCTGGCAATTCAGCTTTCAAAGCAGCTCTGAGCACATTCTTTTTCTTTGTGACCTGGATAGTCTTTGTGTTTCATTCTCTCACTCCACGCCTGCATGGCTTCTGTCATCACTGATATGAGCTGAGCACACACACTGGGAGGTGAACATGTGCCTTTGTGTTCCTGGGCAAGACAGCATAGACAAAGGACATACGTGATTGCAACACCTTTACTGTGGGGAGGAAATCTTCAGCTGTTGGTGAACCTGAAGCATTTAATTGTTCATCTGTTCCACGTATCTAGGCAAATCAAAATGATAACTAGTTTGCCCACCCTTGCAAGGGTAAATACTGGAGATCTTCACTTAACTACTGCAGAGAATTTGGGTTTAGAAATCTTTTGGGCTCAAAGTTTTGTTAAATAAAATATTATTCAATTTAACAGTACAAGAAAGACAGCAGACCTGGCTGATCACCTTGTTACTGACCTAGGATTTCCTCAGTAGAAATCTAGATTATCAAGAATCTCCACAAAATACTCACTCTTCTTCTGACTGCAGTTTTTCAGTGGAAAGTTTCTATTGTCTGAATGCAGTTACTACTAATAAGTATTTCCAAGGACAGAAAAACAGGCCTAAATGCTGTCAAAGTTCATGTGGTGGTATAAAGCTCAGGGTATTTAGTGTTTCCCATCAAAATCCTTGCTCAGCTTTAATTTTAAATTAATTTTTAAAGAAATTTTCTTGCAGTTTCATAAAAAGTTTAGAAGTGCAAACTCTAAACACTAAAATGCTAGCAAGCAAATGATAAGACACCAAGATTTGCTATTTTCAAAAAAAAAAAAAAAAAGTCTTTTTTTTGGGGGGTCTAATGCTTTATTTTGTAGACTTGAGGTTGGCAATACTGAATGCAGCATTTAAAAACACTCTAGTGCCCTTGTCACTCTTTTGAATTTCTCTCTTCCTCTCCTATTATTTCTCTCACTGCGTATTTTTAAACTCTGTATAGAGGTTTTGAGCCCAGAATTTGCGTGAAAGACACTATACAAACAAGTTGTTGGTACTGAATGAATGCAATATTTTTACATTTTTAAATGACTCAAATGAAATGTAAGCTATGGAGTGAAACCAACATCAGGGCACGTATTTCAGCTACACAGTGAATAGCTATTCAGCACAATCTACAATAATTTATTCTGTGTTTGAAAGCTACTGTTTTTCACATTAAAATATTTAGTTCTTTCAAGTATATCGTTCAGTACTGGAACATATCCAGCTGTGGCTGGTAAACCATATACTTCTTTAGGAAGAGGTAAGAAGTCATTCAAGAGACTGTAGTTACAATAATAAATAGCATTTGTCTCTAATTCTCAGGAGTTAACAGATATCATGGCAATGATTACCCAGCTGATGTACAGTAAGTATCAGCAGCTATTAACAGATACAGCAATTATGTGTAAGTAGCAAAACAACAGTGAGATTTCCAGATCTGAAGAAAATCATGGAGCTTCTATTACAAATTAGTTACTTTATACACTAGATGCATTACCCAGACACTGCCACCAACTGTGCCTTTGATATGCATAGACAGGAAAGAGGGAGGGAGGGAGGCAGGCAGAGAGAAGAAGGGAGAGGGAGCTTTTTTCTCTGGCAGGGATTATTTCAACCTGCCCATCTCACCATGCTTAAAAGCTTTGCAGAATCACATCTCTGTGCTAGCCAGCCCAGTGCCAGGTGTTCCAAATCTGTCCAATCAAATTTCTGTATCATATATTTCAAAGATAAAAATAGATCGTCCTGTATATAGTAAAGATCTCATCATTTAACATTCTTTTAATTTTAAAAAAAGATACACTGTGAGCATCTGAGCCTATATATTGCTTGAAGTGGAAAAAATAATTAAAAATCAGTCCACTGAAATGGCTTCCAATGCAGTAAAAATGCAAAACTTTTTATCTAAGTTAAGAACAATGGTATATATGTAAATATTTAGACTAGTAAATCAGTCTTTGTTTCTCTCCATAGAACTCACTTAAATGCATACATTATTCTGAAAAGCTAGAAGGAACTGTGCTAAATTAAGCACAGCAGAGTTTTTTGCCATCTAGCTCTGAGCTTTTTACATTCAGGGGTTATTCTTTTGGAACTTGCTCAACTCTATTTTATGAACAATGTATCTAATGGCCTTGCAGCAAAAGAGTAACATCATTAATACAAATTATTATAAATTTGTGTCTGTGGCTAAATAGCATTTGGGATAGCCCAGTCTTCTGCATGATAGGGTGAGGATAGGGTTTTGCTATCATTCTCCCCTTTGCAAACCTGAAAGCTCAGATATCCTCCTGCTTCCACTGGAGTTGTACTTGAGCAGGGAAAACTCCACTCTGTATAAATGGACTGAACTGTTGGACTGAACCAACTCTTGTCACATCACCTCCAAGGAGAGAACACACATAGCAGGCTGCAGATCTCCGCAGCTCAACAAATGCTTATGTGGTTCGTACAAGGTGAAATAGTTGCAACAGAAAAGAGTAGAAAACCTTCCCACAGGACAAACCATCTAGCCACTTGGTTAGAGATCTTGTTCTGGCAGTGATTAACGCTGCTTCAAGGCTGCCGAGGCAAGTAACTGTGGTCTAAGCAGCAAAACATGGCAGATGCAAAAGAATTATCTTTGATTTTACTTTTTTAAAAATAAAGATTTCTGAATTTGATGAAAATCACAAGCTATCTCAGGTTCACACTGGGCATGATTTTTTTTTAAAAAACTCTTCCTTTGGCTACCAAATTGAAAAGCAGTTATTGTTCCAGTTGTAATTATAACACCACATACCCATGAAAAACACATCAGCTATCACCAGTGCATTCTTTCCCCGACTGTGGTTACATGTAAATGTACCAAATTAATGTTCAAAGGTGTGTGTCCATACAAGAAGGATAAACATGCATTTGTACACACAGACTAAAAAGACAAAAAACCCTTAAAACCCTACAAACTTAGCTGAGCAGTTGAAGTTCTCAAAAATGAGTAAGTCAAGAGTCAAGTTTATAACAGATACAATAGGTTATTTTGTTAGATCTGAGACATTATATTGTAGTGGGTCCCATACTCAAACCAACAGATAATTCTCAATCTTCTCATTTACTTGCTACATGGCAAGTTCATAAATGTTTCCATTAATAAGTAAGAAATCACAGCTGAGGATCACTGTGAAGACTGTCCAGATAACTGGTGATCTAATAACTATTTGGGGAATCCATGTTTCATTAAAGATGTTTTGGTGATTGATGCTCTGAAACAGAGCATGTTTTATAAGGTTACAAACATATCCTGAACACGAATAAAAATAATGTTGTAATGTGCAATTCAGTAGCAATAATGTATCCTTAGGGGCGGTTTAATGTCAGCATTTCATGACTTGTAACAGCGTAACCTCAGCACTGCACTAATAAAGGATGTTTTCTCATTTGTTGGGTACTCGTCTGTTTCACAGGTTGGGATTATGCCTACAGAGAAAAGTATAGCAACCAAAAGTGCTAGAAAACAAAATTCAGCATTTGTTCAACATTCATGCAAAGACATTTTTGAGCACTGGGGGAAAGTATATTGTTAAGCAGTATCAGCTACTTTTATGCCCACAACAAAAGAAAAGCTGCAATGACTCAAGGAGAAAACGAGTCCTTAGAGGAGGTTGAAAATAGATGTGATCAGATACTGGTGCTGAAAACGCAAATTAGCAGGTGGAAATTGTGATCATCTAGGGGATGCTCACTGTTCTGATGACTAATGGTGACTCACTAATATCTGTTTGGAAAACTCTTTACAATGGGAAACCAAAGAAAGTAGTTTCAGATTAAAATATAAATAAAGATTATATTGTGCCTGTCTGATGGTATTTGAATTTATGCTATTAGATGGTTCTAATAGCATAAAGGACATCAAAGCTCATGGCAGAAAGCCTTGCAGTTGTTCACTGCAATGCCTTCATAAGTTCATTCATTATTAATCTTCTACTAACATATTCGGACAAATGTGCATTTATAAAAAACATCCCTCATGCAAAATCTGGTCCCAAGTGACTGTGAATATTCATACTCATGACACAGCAGTCCATTTTCAATAATTTCTGCTTTTAACTGATTTTAAGCTGAACTGTTTGTATCCCAGGATTCAAGACAAATCCCCTTTTGAAACTGTGTTGGAAAGCAATGTGGTTTTTTTAATTTAAAATGTAAAAGTCTGTTTTTCCACCCTGGCTGAGTTCTAAGAGAATGGAAGAGAATCTGTGAAGGATATAGAAACATACTCATTTTGCAAAGACTAGTTCAGAATGCTGTGTCCTTTAAAAGCAGATCTGGCAAAGTGGTTCACTGGAGAGCTTTTCATCCACTTCAGTGCAAAGTCATCTTTCTTAGCATAACACATGGTCAGAGTGGTCTGGGTAACCAGGCTCACTTTGCAGTGAAGTGCATTAGGGAACAGTCCTGTAATCAACTCCTCCAGCTGACCTGTGACCGATAACTCCAGCTACTGGCTAACAACAAACAGAAGAAAGCAGTAATGTTTTCAGCTCCCCTGGCTAGATCTTGAAAACAGACATCTGTCTGAGCATTATTTCCAAACGTCAGTAGCCCCAACTTTTTTTTAACTGAGCCCTGGACGTGTGGAAATTGGTTAGGTTTTCATTTGAACTGTACATTACTAGCCAGGATACAGATTTTTTTGTTTTTGAGTGTGGCATGCAATTATTACAACAAAATGAAAGTACCAAAGCTGGGCGCACTGTGCAAAGTCATGTCCCGAATTACTCGAGTACCAAAACAGGACCACATCAGGAGGAACTGCTGAGCTACTTTCTTCAAAGAGCCTTGTCTCTTGGCAGCTACCTGCAAGAAAACAGATATACCTGATGTGGAGAAACTTTTATCTCTATCACCTGATACAGGTGAATGATGCACATATCTGTCATCTTTTTCATACTGAAAAACTATTTATCATTACCTTCACATTAAAATATGCGCTAAAAATATCAAAAAACAAAAAAGCCCCATAAAATCTTACACAAAAAGCCACCTTGGAACTATATACAGCCTTTGGAAAGAGGAAATAAGGAAGTATTTTTCAACACCAAGACTGAATTTTCTGTATAAATAATGAGAAGACTGCCAAAAAATTGCTCTGATTGAGGTTGTGGAGTCTCCTTCTCTGGAGATATTCAAGACCCTCCTGGACGCCTTCCTGTGTAATTTCGTTTAGGTTCCTGCTCCGGCAGGGGGATTGGACTGGATGATCTTTCGAGGTCCCTTCCAATCCCCAACATTCTGTGATTCTGCATGTGTGATTCCTCTTAACCTAATTACTTACATGTTCATTCTTGCTTCTTAGTCAAGGAAGCAACTGATAATCAAGAACACTTGATCTACACTGAAAATTTATAAAAATATTTCAATTAAACTTTACTATTGAATATAAAACATTTTGTTCAGTCATGTTTTTATTTTTGTGAATTAACGTAGTCACTTTACTAGCAAAAATACTTTCCAGAAAGCACACTTTAGGCATCAGTTCTTCAAAAATTTATTTATCAGTCATGTGCGTTAAAGAATTAGGTTCATCCAATTAGCTGATAAAATTAATGTCAAGTTCTTAATGAAAATTACCAGTTATTGTCTGAATTTTAAATTGCATTCCACTGACTAAAAGAAGAGTTCCCCAAAACTATAAAAATATTTGAAGTAACATGGGAACGTATCTGCTGGTTTCTGTATGGATCTTTGGCAGCAAAGAGAGAGGGTAGCATTTTTTTTCCCCCACTACTTCTTAGCTCTAACAACTGGAATGAAGAAATTATAATAGAGCATCCTAATACAAAGTATAGTTAGTGACATAAGTTAAAATAGTTTCATACTTTATGTAAAGTTATGGTGATGCCTGATCACTTTTGAAAATATTTTCTAAAGATTTGCTAGTAGGTTTCTGCATGCACTTAAAATAAAGTAGAAGCTCTTGGTATACTGAATCAGCTCAAAATGTAACGTAAACTTGTCCTTGACTGAATGGTAATGTAAACTTTCTTCCTTATATTAGAACGTATATAAATGTACTAGCTAGCCTAAATATCCTTTTCATTAAAATCTTAAAAGGCCAGACTAGATTATGCTTTTTATTTGCACTATGCAGTTGGGATGACTCTGAACTGATCTCTGCATATCCCTGAAATATTTATGTGATTAGAAACCTCAACCCTGTTCCATTCTTGAATATCATCTTTTGGGACAGAATAGACAAGAGCAGAAAAAAGCAGAATCCTGAATGTGAGCAGTTCTCATACTGAGCATGAGAAGTGGTAAGATTTTGCCCACTGTTGCTTTACTCTTGCTTATTACCAATGCCTGGGACTTTCCCCCACCCCCCTTTCTATTTTTGGTAAAAATCTATGACCTGAGTAGAGTTCATAATGCACATCAGTGAGTCAGGTCCTTACTCCTGCTTACCAACCTTTACAACACATCTGTCCACCATGGAATCCAGCCACTCGATGTACGACTCAATGGGGGACTGCTCCTCCAGAAGGTGATCAAACTCCTGATACACTGGCAGACAAAGAAAAAATAGCCTACCTCAGTAACTGGATTTCATTTTGAACAAAAGAGAAACAAATAGAAAAAACTTCCAATAACATTGCAGGTTTTCTGTGGTTTTTTTATAATAGATTGCTTAGCTACAACAAATACATCTTTCTTGGTGTTGACCCAGTAAGTTTGCTTGGTCTCTTTTCTTGTTTCGACTGAAAGTGATGGAGTTATTGGAAGTGGTATTTTACTGTGAGCAAATCAAGAGCTATTGTTTGAAATTAGTCTTTTGATTTAAGCTTCAGTTGTCTGGTGTGCCCGGAAGTGAAATGTTTATGGTGTTCTCTACGAAGAGTGTGAAGCTAGGCCTTGACCCTGGTGATGAAAAAAGGTCATGCATGAAATTGATTTAGAAATGCCTAAAGAATCTTCTAGACACCAAGTGGATGAGTATTGTTGATGGGGCTCTCTTCTGTATAATGCTTTAGTTGCAAAAACATGATTTAACTGCTCCAAATCATCTATTTGCAATGCCAGACACACAAAGCATTTCCATAAACTTCTACTTCTTCAAAACAAATTGCTACCAGTGCACAAATGCTGTACTTAATTTATCAATAAGAGTTTCAAAAAGCAACCTGCATACTTTTTAACCTCTCCCAAGTACAAATATTCATATTTTATCATAGAAAGTAAAACCAATAAAGTCATTCAACTGCAGCTCTTAAAACTGCAAGTTTTCAGTTTATTTATGAGAATCAACGGCTGGAAGATAAAGAATCATGTGCTTTGACACCCTAAGAAACTATTTTTCAACTCAGCTACAATAAAAGGCCAGGTAAGTCAAGAAGAAAGATACTTTCTATCTGCTGTGTTACAGGAGGATCTCAATGTGCTGTGCATTTCCATTTATGCTTAATTATAAATAACAGAAGTAAGGAATTTCCCACCATAAGAAAGATTGTGAAGGAGGTAAAGCTTAGAGATGATAGCTAGAGAAGTGAGACAGAGAGGCTATCTGATAATTATACAAAGAATAAGCTCCCTGGTCTCTAAGTTGGATCTAGGAATGCATTTGCTTTACACTTGACTTTAACTTTGTCTTACTTAGACTTGCAAAGGCTGGATGGTCAGAAACATTGTTTGGGGAAGAAGGGAAACAACGATGTTTGGGCAACCTTGAATGGACAACCTCTATTCAGGACAGGATCACAAGGAAATCTAAATATTGATTCCTTACCTGAGTATTTGACTGGACAAAAACTGCCTGATACAACAGATGAAGTAATTCATATGCTGTGCAAAGAGGGGAGCAAGAGTGGAAAAACAAATCAGTTGCCTGCTTTGCTGCTGGAGCAATGCAACTGTGTACAACAACCTATTTGAAAAAAAAGTAACTGTTTAGCTTTTAGTGACTGTTAAAAATACCTCAACAGGATCTGATGAAGAGGGAATAAAGAAGAAACCATGTCAGAGACAGCTACCATAGCAGAACAGGAAAGAGCTTCTTGTACCCAGTGATTTTTCTCCATTTTTCTCTAAGCTTGCTTATAAGTTTATAAGCTTTTATTTTTTCTTCCCAGTTACAGTAGCTGGAACTTGTACTTCCTTGATTATTGCCACGAATGTGAAAGCAGGCCTTAATTCCATGTCATATGAGTCACACAGAGTGTGATCTTTGAAAAAAATCTTTGGTCTAATAAAATAAACATCAAAGATGAGAGGAAAAAAAAAAAATCCAAGTTCTAGAATAATTTCTATACATGTCTGCACATCTCAGTGGAATCCCATCTCATGATGAACATTCATATTAGGTTACCATTTCTAGGTAATTGCTTATTGGACTATATGGGCCTAAAATATGGAAAAATATGTTCAAATCCATTAGACTTCAGGAAAATTCCATTTGATTTGCTTACACTTAAGTGTGTATTTAAATAGTTAGCACATAAAAGAAAAGCTTTCCTAAACAGCAAGGATTTTCTGATTGAGAGCCAAAACTGTTGCTGCTACGAGGGATTATAACTTTGAAAACTCTTTCTTTTTGGTGGAAGGATCTTGGCTAGATACTGAAAACATAACAGATGACAGAAGGATGCACCCAGCTTCTGGACCCAGTTTCACTACATGCTACCTCCCCTGTTGCCACGTCAAGTATCTATCTCAAAAGGGAAGAGGGCCATGTCAGGAAATGAATCAAGGGTTAAGAAGGAGCAGAAAGAGTACCAAGCACCTCTTGCTGGAAAGCAGAGCTAACAGAGACAGCAAGACCCATCCCTAAACTGAGGAGAAGATTTCTAGTGTTAACACGGTGGAATGAGTGCCAAAATCAACTTTGCAGGGCCCGGTATGCATGTGAAAGTGTCACCCCTCCTCTTCCCAGTGACTCACTGAAAGAGTTACCCCACTAGCAAACCTACCCTTGCAGGGCTCCCACAACTGGTTGCCCGGGTTGCTCCCCATTAAGGCTGGTTCTGGATAAAAGATGACTGGTCCTCCTCGGGAGAGAGATGGCAATACAACAGGTAGGTTCACAGGGAACTGAGGTTATTAACGATGCTAAAGACAAAGTTGGTCACCTCTGATGCCTCAGAAGTACAAACTCAATGTGCTGAGAGTTACACCCAAGCTTACAACCATGCACTCTTGCTGGTCAATGTAAGTTAAATATTACATGTACCAAAGATCTTTGACTCTAAAACCAATTTGCCAACACCTCCAAAGTAACTTTTCAGTTCATGCCCTTCACTATGCTAGGCAGAATCTAAATTAGTCAATGAGCTTGCTTGATGTGGGACTTCTACTTACTTATAAAAGTTCAGGGTAAAAGCTTACCCCATCAAATTATCTTGTTTATGAAAACACTGTGCAAAATGGAGATTTTTATAAATAAAATTTTACAAGGGACTCAAATACACAGTCAAAGTGTCAAAGTCATTCAAAAGACAGCAATCCTGCAATTGTACAGCAGGAGAGACTGGACTTTGCCAGGTTCAATGGTTAACTCGTAGATTTAGTTTGCTCAAGTTCGTGGAAAAAAAATCTTCCTGAATTTGAGTGCAACTTTTGTGCCATTGGCTGTTCTGGATACTAGAAAGAAACTCAATGGCAGAGGGCCCAGATCCATGCCTCAAGATATAAGACTTTGACAGGGCTTTGCTTTACATTTTGATAAATGTCTTTATATTTATCTTAAGCCTCCAAGCAAACCAATGGCTGCAAAAACAGTATGACCTTCACTGAGCTTTGTTTCCAGCAGGAAACTGAGTTCACCTGGCTTTATTTGAGGGTTCTGCTCTTACATTGTATGATGAGCTTTCTGTGTTCTTCCCGTGAGTCCTCCATAGTATAGAGGGTTTGTTTGGTAATGCTATTCAGATCCACATTCCTCCAGTCCTCCAGCATTTGAAATGTGATGTCTGCACTGTGGATCACTGTTCTTGATGCCTGTAATCCAATCCAATCTATTCATTAGTTCATGGTTTATTAGGTTAAAAAATAGTCTTTATCCCCTTTTATGCTTCCTTAGCTAGGCTCACTGAGTTGATTCTCCTCAGGGACCCCCACCCACCAGCCTGATGGACATTACAGGGCCATCTAATCACAGATAACTCACAAGTGATTTTGCCTATTTAATCAACTGCAAGTATTTTGTTTGCATCCACCACAAACCCTGATGATGAGCAACCCTGATTTGGTGGTGCTGTTACTAGACTCCTCAGTCTCTAACAGCTCTGTTGGTTTTCTTGACTAGCTTCAGCACAAAACCAAAAAACAAGAAAAATCAAACCAAAACCAAACAAATCCCACTCAGGTTTGCACCCTCCCCTCTCCCAAATGATGAAGACTCTCGTTCTTCCTTCAGCCACATGAAAAGATTAAAGCTCATCTGCCATCAGATCTGCTTCTTGGCTGGTTGAGACAGGGATCTGCAGTTGATAATGGGGAGGATGGGCTGAGAGGAAAGGAAAAGACCCAAGGTCATGGTCTCATAACATACACCAGATCTCTGTAAGTTAAGCAGATATGATAACCCAAATTAAGGTTATCAGCTTCCTCAATGAAATGATGCATTTGAAGAGTCCTTCATCTAAGTAAACTGTTTGATCCCAGGTCTGCTGCAGAAGGTTGTGGTCTCTGTATCACGATTTCCTCCAAATCCCTATGGACCTCCAAAATTCAGTGATGATCCACAATGTTTGGGGAAAGGTAGCACTGGCATCTCTGCCTCCACCACTAAAATAATGGAGGAAGAGATCTACAGAGAAGTCCTTAAAGGAGTGGGTTTTTTTCCCCAGAGCTTCTTCCTGTGGGCTTCACCACTCACAGGGTTAACCTGGGGTGTTGTGTACACCTTCCAAAAGTGGAACTTTCAGTGTGACAGAGAAAACAAACAGTCTGCTTCAATATATGGGTAAAACATCAATGAAATCAATGCATCCTCCTCCTTTTTATACTACACAGAATTTGGCCTCATGAATTTTTGATAGGTAATTGTGATCTAAACTGGTGAAAAGCAAACACTTCAGAGTAGTTTTTATATTAACTTGCTACGGTTGCAAGAATATTTCTATTTAAAACCCCAGTGGTTCAACCATTTTCATTTTTACTAATTTGCATTTGATTTATAATATACAATTAGACATTGAATTTTTTGTCAGGCATATAGAAATTCTTGCTTTGCAATAGGCCTGATACAAACCACACTCTGAAATCAAAGGAATGCTTCTCATTTATTTAATGGAAATGAACCATTTCTTCAAATCAAATAATAATTTTGTTTCATAAAAGTTCCCTGCTGAATTTAATGATGAAGGGTTGCCAGTTCTCTAGAAAAGCAGTTTTTGCTTATTACTTTTTGATTTCGTAAAGATGGTCACAATAAGAATTGGAGGCAAACTGCTAACATTATCTCTTCCTCTTTGGGTAAAGTCCAGCCTGTCAATTCATAAAACTATTTGAAAAGTCAGTGCAAATGGCATTCAGCTAACTTGGGTAACTGAAATATTTACTTGGCAGAGATGATTTAGTGATGTCTGTCGCCGGAGTATTTGTGAGAATCTTCTGGACACTGCAGGAGAGAAGAGATACATATTTACATACCGTGCTAAATAAAGAAAATTATTTCTGAAAATACTAAATTAAAACAAGAACCCCAAAAATATATCCAGTTTCCTATGTACCATTGTGGCCTAGTTTTAACTTAGTTTAAACCTTGACCTAAAACCTTAAATCTGGACGCTCAATCGATTTTATAGAGGTATATTACAAGCAATGATTTATAGATGCTGTGAATAATGAGATGACAAGAAAAACGTAGAGGACAATGGAAGAGCTTCGCTTGTTCGGCATAGCAAATTTTTCTCTTGATACACAAAGGAACTGAAGACCAGAAAGAACTATTTAATAGAAAGAAAAATGTTGGTGCCAGAACAAATGGGCGTAAAATAACGATAGCTACATCATGTGTGGAAATTAGAAAAGGTTGCTAAGTCTTCATGCAAACAAGTTTTGGAGGAGTCTGACTGGACAAGTAGGAGCTAAAATCTGTTTCAGGTAGAATTTGATCAAAATTTCTGAAATAGATTACAAGATATACTAACATGCTATGGGGTAAGATGACCATAGAGGTATTTGCTGGTCCTCTGCTCCTATTTTAGATCTTTGAAGCAATAAGGACCTTGTATTGAGATATTTCCTATACTTGGATTTTAAAATGTTGTATTGTGCATCTTTTGCCTGAAATCCATGACTCAGGAACCGCAAACCTGACCAAGGCTTGCAGTTACTCCTGGCAGTATCTCCATTGGCTGTGTACACTATCACAAATTCTGATGAGGAGTAAACACTTGCAGAAGCAACATAGGCTCATGTAAAAGCTAGGATGTTCTCAAGTTTTTTGTTATATTAAAATCACTAAAGACTTGCAGACCTATCCAAGCAGACATTAGATGTGGACACAGAGTAGGTTTTCCCTCTGTACTGTACATAGAGGCAGTTAAAGAGTACAGATTAAGAATACAAAATGTATTGTCTGTCTCTTTTTCTCTCCCTATAAGATGGGAAAAGATTTTGCTGTTGCAGATTCTTGGTATTTCTGAACTGACAAAGATGTGATAAAGCTGTGAATAAGTTCTGACTTTGTGTAACTTTTAAAATAAATTAGTAAACAATGCAAAATACTTAAAACTAGTTGTTCCATTCTGACTGTTCTCAGTAAAATATACACCTAATTTTCCATGCTGATCAAAACAGTTAATCCTTCTCCTAAATTAGTTTTTTTTTTTCCTTTAACTTTGTGGTGTGGAATTTAGTGCTCATGAAAGGCAAAGAATTGAGAGCCGTGAAATAAAGCAGGCTTCATCAATAGGTGATGTGCACTGCAGGCGTCTACAAAGCACGTCTGAAAAGGACTAGTGCCCTTTCCTGTGGTGACAGGGTAATTTGATCTCCTTCATTTTTAACTCTGGCACTTTTTTGAGTAAGGGCCTCAAGCTGTATTCAAATTGTGCTAGCCTAAAGGTTTGTTTAATAATTTCCTTTGCTTAATATCATCCCTAATGTTTGCTTACTATCAACAAAATTAATTTCTTAGCAGAAGCCACAAGAAAGGAAAAGCATTTCTCATTTTGAGCAGAGCCTCATTTCACTAAATGAAATTGGTTCTCATGAACAAGTGGAGACTGTAAGTGAATGCAAGATTTTGATGCTGACAGGTTTTAATTTCTGAAAGAACACTAGTCTCACTTCCAATTAATTTGTAATCAATAAACACTATATGCATCCTAGGTTAACAGGAGAGAGATCGGGCAATACCTACATTCAAATTTGATATTTCGTAGATTTTCTGGTAAATCGTGGAGAGCTACTTTCAGCCACTCATCCAGTTGCTTTGCAAACTTTCGGATCACCTGCGTCAAACTGAAAAGAGAAATCACTGCATAAGAAATATGTTTACTCTGCCTTATTCTAATAGCTGTGAATGTGTGAAGACTATGGGTCAGTTATTTACAACTCTCTATTATGCAGAGTTGTTGACATATTTTGGTTTGTAGTCGTGAAGAAAAACTTCTGAAAATGTTTGCAGGAAAAAGAAAACATATCTCAAAACCTCACAAAGAGTGAAAGTCTCTGAACAGCACTGCATTCATACTTAAAACCAGTATTTTTAGTTTGAAATAAAATAATTCCCACTCTGTACAAACTTTAGAATATAAAATCACAACTCTTTAAAGAAGACAATAGATCGAGCTTTGGATTTCAGCTCAGCTGTGCCCATGTTTATATAGATGTACACAGGAATGTGTAAGTGAAGCAACAACTAACTTTGCTGCGGGCTGGAGCCAGCAAGTGGGTGATGATGATGGGGAGGAACTTCCAGGCCAAGCCCGCACAGGTGGGGGAAGTGGAGGTGGAGCAGGACTGCCTGCTTATCTCTGCACAGGACAGGAACCTTCCCAGGCAAGTGAGATTTCTCTCCTCTCCCTTACTACCCTTTTCTGATGGCTCCATCATTTCCTGATAAACTTGGTAGGCAGCTTGTTCTGCCTTTCTTCTTGGAACTGCTCAGTATAAAATGAAAGTTTCAGGGAAGTGCAGTGGGGTGTTGTGCAGGGGAGCCTAATAGTTGGTCCTGCCAGACCGAGCTGCACTGCCTGTAGCAATACTTGAGGTACACAAATGAGAGAGAAGAAGCAAGAACATTTCCCTCTTTCAGCCAGGCAGCTGTTTGTCCTCCTAACATTCTGCACTGAGAACAGAGCTGGTAAAATAAACATGTCCATAGGTCTGTTCTGCTCCACGCAGACACCTAACAGGACAGGGGATGGATGACAACTGATACGTGCACTAGAAAGTGGCCTTTCTGGACAGCCAACATTGGTTCCCAGGAAGTCCCTCAGAGGATTCTGGCTGAGTCAGCAAGATTTCCTTCAGGAGCTTCCATTGCAATGAGACCCTTCTTCACCCCCTCCAGTGCAGGCTATGGCTTAATAGCCACAATCTGGCCCTTTATATGCATTACAAAAGTCTATATTCACACTCAAGTCTCTCCTTATTTGCTATGAAAGAACTAAGCAGCTTGAGAAAAGGACTGCTGTTCTGTTTAATCCTTCCAATGAAATAGATTTGGGGGGGTGAGGGGCAAAGCCTGTAAAAATGTACATGTCTTATCAAGGAAAGCCAATACTTAGGACAGGTTTCTTGTGGAAAAAAACACTTTACCTGTACTGTAGCAGTCATACAATGTGCATAGGAGAGCAGAACATCTTGAAAACATTTGCCATAACTACAGACTCTTTAAAATCTTGGGGGCAAAATATACAACACCAATAATAAACTCCTAGAGCGTATATTCTTAACAATATTCTTAAGAAATTACTCAATCTCAGGAAGGCATCAGTCACTAAACTTGTACGCAGATATTTAGAAAAAGAAAGTTTCTTGGTTACACTTTTTGCTGTGAACTGCTGGTTGTTGTCCCGCTTTACCTACATAAGCAAGACTTCTTGGACTCAGATGAGCTCCAGTTAGAAAGACAACAGCTGAGATCTACCCCATGGGATGGAAAAGTGAACTTAGCTTTGAAACAAAGGAGACAAATACTTGTTAATATTAATAAAGTGATCCCAAAATAAGCATGTATCTGTTCTTCATAGGATAGTATTTAAATTAAACCAGTTTGTCCAAAACTTCACAAGTATGATCTTCATGTTTTATACTCCTGGCAAGGAGAATAATAATAATTGGGTTCCAAGACTGTAAACAGAGACAAATGCTTAGGTTGCAGTGTCTGAATATGCATGTGGGTATTTACAAAGAGAGCAGCCAGGCCAACTCCTCTTTTCACTACAATTCAGAATACTGTTATGTTGTTATCCCAGACTGTCTGAAATTTTCAGAAGATGGTGTGGCACTCTACAGCGTGCAGATTTCTGATATTACCTGAAAGTTGAGACATGACTATCAGCTTCACGTTAATAAGCCAAGAAGAAGATGGTATCCCTTATCATATCCTTTATCATACAAAAAATATCAAGTTTTTAACAATAAAAGTCTTGTTAAAATCTGAACATTTCTTCAGGAACTTGTCAGCTCTTCAACTCCTTCAAATTGACACTGTGGTTTAAACTCAGGAAATGGGTGGCAGCAAGCAGCTTTGTGAGAGCTGGTGCCGTTCTTGAAGAAAAGATGCATAACAGACAACTGAGCTAAAAGTGCCAGTGCTGCTAGCTATACTGACCTGTCAGGTAATGCTTGTAGTACCGTTGGCATCAAAACTCCAGAAATTGCTTTGTACAAAATTGAATCACAAACTCCCACTATATTCACTACAGTTGAAGAACCCAATACAGGCAGCATATGAGGAGGCATCCCTTGCCAAAAGTGCAGAAGAAAACTTTGAACCTGGAATCACAAGAAGAAGCAGGAATTTTGAAGTTAAAACAATCAAAGGCTAGAAATACAATTTTCCTTAAATGGCCCTGCTTATATAGCACCTGTTTCAGCCCCATATCTGGACTGATGGTGTGCAACACAGGCAAGGCACATTCCTTAGACAAGCTTATACTATAACACAGCGCACAATGGGACACTCTTGAATCAGTGGCACGGTGTCCTTGTGTTAGTACAGTAGAGAGGTTCAGGGGAACCACCATATTTTTACCAGCGGTGAGTGTAACTCTTTGGTTTCCACATGTCAACCCTTTTTCTCTCTCTTTGCTCTGTCTCTGTATACAAAGGAATGTGATCTAGGGCTTGGTGTAGGGAGGGAGAGGTGGATAACACATGGCTTACAGGGCTCAATATACCATTTTTTGTCTTCATTTGGGGAAGAAACACTCTGCTTTTGGATTTATTCTTTCCTCCACTATGAAGGAAAGAGGAGAAAGAATGGAGAAGGAGAAAAAATAAAATGGGGAGGAGATTTTAGTCAGCAAAATATACTTCTGAAAATTTTCATTTATGAAATAAAGGCATTATTCAGTGAATGATATGGTCAGTTCTACAGCAGTCAGGACACCAACGTTCCTGAGAGATAACCTTTTGCACACAACCCGTACTGAAATACCACACTAAGTACAGTAAAGAATATTTTCCATTAATATGTTGTTGCTGCTCAGCCCTTTCCCCCACATTGATCCTGATTAACAGATTCCCTAACAAAATACAACATCCTGCTACTAAGAAAGGTTTCTGAGACTCATTCAGCAAAACTTCCTGAATATGTGCCACTTATTTCTCTCATCTGGAAACATCTAGACTGGGTACAATGACTTAAAAGAACCTCAGCTTTAAAACAGAAGAATGTGAGAATTAAATAGTGAGAGGAAGAAAAGCAGGGAATTTCTTGCCATTGTTCAGAAGGCAGAGACAAAAGACTTGTTTCCTTTGATTTTTTCCAGAACCTGAATATCATATTTGAATCAGGCCCTCAGCATATCTATAGTCAGATTTTTTTTCTGAACTAGATGCCTTCGCCGCACGTAATATAAAACTGCTTGCATTCCAGGTTTTATTTTTTCAGCTCTAATTATAGAACTGTCTGCATGTGCTGCCAGAAAACCCTCAGATTCAATCAGATACGCAACAGGTACAGTCCTTATCCATCTCTAATGGACTGTATCAACTGCTGAGCTGCACTTCAGTCCAACTGAGCAACTGGAGACTCCAGCTACAGCTTTCTGGGATGTCTAGGAAGCAGTAGGCCCTGCACTGCCCTGCACCTTTGTTAACAGACCAGCACAGCCCAGCATTTTGGCTGTGGCACTTGCCCTGAGTTTGTGCTGAACACTCAGGAATTCCTTCAAACAGCTCAGTCTCAACTCAAAGTTTAGAAAAGTGGTGGTGGACACGCTTCTTGGGTTGTAAGAACTGTATTGTCCAACATCTTGTAAGGGGATATTGCTACCTTAATCTTGCTGAAAAATTGAGAGACAAAAACATTCCCATTGCTTTTGTTCCTCTAACTCACATAGTGTTATAAGTGAGATTTAATGCTGTTGTCCACATATTATGTACTCAAGTATAGCTATTGTTCATCATTCGTGAAAAGGGTCAGCCACCACAAAGCCATAAGTTTGTAATATCACATTCAAAATAAGCTCTCAGATCCATTAATACCTAATGTATCATTAAGCTACTGTAGTTTCCAACCATACCTCATCAAAGTTTGCTCTTATTACAGTGTCTAGTATCCTCTGACAGTGAGTTCTATACATCATAATAAAGGTAGAAACCTGAAAAAGAATGAGAGGGAGACACACAAAAGATCATTCTACTTTAAGAAATTGGCCTTTAAAACTATCAGAATATAGAGAACAAAAAAATAAGTTTTCTTCTTATCTTACCTATGCACAATTGCAAAAATAATGAAATTGGTTAGAGTCTAGTTAGATTAGTTAGATTAGCTTTAAGATGAGTTTTCTTCTTAAAAGTAAATTCTCCCTTTGAATTCATGGATTTTTCTATGTCAATGGGGATTCTTCAAATGTAAGAGGAGCAAAAAGCCTCAGTGAGATCAAAGACGAGAATGTGGCCCTAATTAGGACATAAAGAACTATAAAACCCTATTCTTTCGTCCACTTTACATTGATACTACACATGTGAATAGCATCACAAATCTAGCAAGCTCAGCCAAGAGCAGACAGAGCACTTTTGTCATATGTGCAGATAGGATTCTCTTAATTTCCAGTCTAGAAGGATAAGAAATGCACTGTCCTTCTGCTCAAGAAGGCATCAGAACTGTTTTTCAGTTTGCCATCAAATGAATTCGCAGATTAAAGAGCTTAAACATATTTAAAAGCAGTTACCTTCAAACCTCACCTGTTATTTGTAATGTAACTTTTTAAAAAAAACCATGCATGGGCTTTAGAAATATTGTACAGCTGATATACTCCCCTATTTTAAGGGAATATATTTCTATTACATGAAGTAATTAAGTCCCCCATAAATAAAGTCAAAACATTATTAAACTTATTCTAATTTAAAGTCTTTATATTTTAGATAAACTCTTCATCCAGGGAAAAATCCCAAGACAAGCTGAGAAAATATTTCCAAAGTGTTACCTTCTCCTCTGGTAGACTGGCTGGCAGATTTAGATCTTTGACATTTGGAAACTCTGGCAGTAATGTTCCCAGTTTGGATCGTGGTGAATACGCCACTGTCTGTTTGGTTACTTCTTTTTTTCCTGTTTCGTTGACCCAAGCTGCTCCTTTTTTAGAATACATTACATCGTAATACTGGGAGTTCTCTTTAACTGCAATTCCGTAATAATGGTACCTGACACAGAGAAACGTATATTTTATAAAGCAGATTGTTATCAAGTTAAAAAAAAAAATATGGGGGTAAGAGAAACTCATAATGCTAATGATTTCTACAGCAAAATGAACTGTGCAATAGTTTATATATTATTAACAAGCATTGATTCAGTAGCAGAACATTGTAGTAATGTATTGGGTTTCCAATTTTCATTCCTCCTGGTAAAAGTAGCTCTCTTCAGAGTTAATAAAGCTGACTGTTGCAGGGCAGGAAAATAATGGACTTCAATTTTTTTTCTTCTTATGAGGAAAAAAAAAAAGCATCCTAGAGCTACTTGTTGGCAGAGCTCTGCTATGCAGTTGCTCCTTTAGTTTAGCAATAAGTAGAGGTCTCTGGACTGGCTCTTCTGTTGTTATTTCAGCTCCCTGATTCTCAGACTGTTGAGGGCTGGTTTGACCCCTGAAAAGTGGGAGTCTTTGTTGCAAGTAAGTTGATAAGAAATGTTTCAAAAATTGAAAACACTTCAGTGAAAAGAGAGGGGGGAAAAAGGCTTTTGCTGTAAAGCAGTGAAGTAGGAAACATACAGTTCAATATTATTTGTATCATAAGTTACTGTCAGCGCTGGGCTTAGATCAGGCAGAGATACTACACAACACTGTAACTGTCTGTCCAGACCACAGTGGGAGTTACACAGTGTGGCTGTGCTATAAAAATGGATTGGTGGCCTTATGGCACAAGTTTGTGCTACACCTTAGCTTTATTATGCATGTTAATGGAAGCACTGATTATCCAGTTTAACTCTTGCATCAAAGCAGCAAAGGTAATCTTATTCTTTCCATAATTTTCTAACTTTTATTTCAGTTTCTCATCTGTAGGCACCACCAACAGCTAAGTTTTTAGTGACTACAAAAGGCATCACAAGATTCTATTGCTCGTATACTTTTGAGTCACCCTGCTTTCCTAGAGGGCATTTTCAATGATCTTCCAGTTCTCTCCTTACAGCCTAGCAAAAGCCTATCAGACCATGATGAGACACTCTCTTCCAGATCCCACTACGATGGCAAAAGTTACCATCTCTTAATACTTGTTGTACTCCTCAGACTGTTACTGATTTCAGAGTGCTGACCGCAGATCTGTTCACTTGAATGGACCCAGGTTCACTTTAAGCAAAATTAGCTGGTTTTACAAAGGTCATCGATTAAATGAGTGAAAAATAGAATCTAAGTGATGGTAGTTGAAACTAATGCAGGTCACTTTTTTTCATTTTTTCACTCACAGTCATTCACCCACAGATCAGTACTTGTCAATCTCCAGCAGAAAGTGGTGGCAAAGAACTGGAAGCCCTAATCTTGTCTACCAGCACAGATGGGCTGAGAGGAGGCCTGGGGAGCTGAAGTAAACTTCTAGTATGTTCTAGATGTTCCATGTTGTCCACTAAAACTAAAAGCTATCTTGAACTCAATACTGAATCCAAGTGAGATTTATTAAAACACTAAGATGGCATGGTATGAATGGGATTTCCTAGGTTCAATACTTTAGAAAGCCACACTATCTGCTTCAAATTTGCCCATCAGGGCTTAGGCCAAAATGCAAATTCCACACCAGAAACCAGGCTCCAGATCAGTCTTAACCTCTTACAGATAGCTAATGGCAAGTTTGTGCTCACACTGGGGTTATAACATCAGCTGTAGAAGTTTGGCTTTTCAGCTTAAATGGTAACAACTCCAGCTTGCAGTTCAAGTCCCCAGTCTGTAGCAGCTGTCATGCATGCACTGCATGTAAGAGCCACAAAGCTCACACAGGTCCTGTGTGGTATGGCTGGGGCTGGGGAAACCAAAAAGGAAATGCTGCAGGGAGCTTTCCCTCACAAATTGCTGAGGGAAATGTGGGGGGCGGGGGGGGAAGGGAAAAGGACACAGCAGGCAGACGTTCTAGATGGACTGAGAGGTTTGTATAACTTAAACACGGGTGAGCCTCATATATTAAGCTTCCTCTTAAATCCATTAAAGAAAAAAATTAATGAAAGCTTGGAAAATGTAGTAAATTTAACTGTGCATTATTTAATTTCTGGTATATTTCACTTGACAGTAAACTACATAAAAATGTTTTCCAGGTAGTTTCAAAATCACATAGACAGCAATAGCCAAACTAACTCTGAAATTTTTCCAGATAGCTTCCTCCTTTGGTAATTTTACCATCCCAAATGGCAAAAACTCACTGGTGCAGTTTACAAGGGTTCTTTTCCAAGCACTTTTCTATATTTCCATCAGAAAAAAAACCCAACTTAATTCAATAAACAGGGCTTGGAAGTTTGATCTGTAAAAGAATAATATTCAGACTACACAGTTCTTTTTGTGGTAAATAGTGGAATGCTTTTTCTTCTCACAGAGCCGGTATCTGCAGTGCTCCTTTAAAGAAAGAAGTAAAATTCCCTTCACACCATGTAGTGCCCATCAGTTTAACTAACCTCTTATGCCCATAATTGAAGAGTTTCAAGCTACAGTACAGAAAGAAATCAACTTTTATGTTTAGCTGCCTTCTCATGCCTCACCTGTAGTGAAACTGTTTTTAAGCTCAAGACGATGGAAAACAGCTGCATGTTTACAGCAATAAACCCAGCTGCAAAAAAGAAAGCCTCACAACTGATGACCAAGAGTGTAGCACCATTGTAGCTCTGAACTTTGTAATGTTACAAGGCAGCCGTGCTATAAAAAGACTGAAGGCAGAACAGTGTGAAGTCAGATAATCTTAACCACTTCTGTGGCCGAATTTCCTTTGGCAGTAGCAGGGAAGTGGAATGAAAATCATACCAGCAGCAGTCAGCACAGCTGGTGATAAAAGGACTGAAGTGTTAGTGCCTGAAGTAATTTATTTACATAACACTTAATTGGGATGCTGTCAGATGTTTCTGAAAACAAAACCATAGCTGAGCTACAGCTGTGCTGGGTCTGCAAGGAGTGTGTTTATTGTAAAGAGGTATAGTATGCATGTAGCGTGTGTGTGTGTGCGTGTGTTTATACCTGTCCTCTTCACTGGATTAAATGAGAAGGACTTCTCTGTATACTATAATTCTTGGGGTGCTAACCACTGACAAAAAAGTAGGCATCCTCTTTTGAAGCAGAAGAACTCAATTTCGCAGTTACTGGGGCTGTGAAATTTGAGTGAATATAGCCTCCCTCACAGGGTGACCAGGAACTCTCAGGGCCCAGGGATTTTGCAGAGCACAGAGAGCATGCTTCACAGAAACTCCTCCTTATTTTCTAGATAGGGAGCAGAACCATTGCAAAGGTGGCACGAGAGGAGTATGTGACCTGAAAGCCTCTCTGATAGGCATGCAGGTTAGGGGTAAAATATGCAAGAAATATTGTCTCATTGATTTTTAGCCTCATTGAGAGTAAAGAGACATAGCTTCTGGAGATGTAAGACATCTTCAGTCGACAGATCAAGAGCATCTTGCCCCTCTGAGAGAGTCCTGGAGCTGTGGGAGGAGCTCCAGTTTGGAAATACAGTGGTGCTCATTCCTTTCTTTAAATCAGAAGACAAATAACAAAGTTATAGCCAATGTCAGAGTGATTTGATTATTTATAGGGGGTACTCTCGTTTGAATGCTTCCATAACGTAACTTGTACATACTTTCACTCCATCTTTAGGAACTTCCACAGAACTTACATTTGGTTCTAAATCTGGGCCTATCATGCTTTCCTAATATGCTGTTGGACTAGCCCAGAATTTGCACCTGAGAGATTTCTGGTAGCTCTATTATGAGTGATGTTAGGGTAGCTCAGAATTTGCATTTGGGAAGAGATTGCAAATCTTCAATTAGGTGCTTAAGAATAACTGTTCTAGAAAAAGAAAGCTTAGTTATAAAAACTAGGAAAATCTCAAAATGAGGGAAAGGACATTTGGCCCCAGCAAAGAGATATTTGCATGGACCACTTTTCAGAAGAACACAGTAAAGTTAATTTTAATGGTATTTCTTTTAGCATATTTATTTATTTAATTATTTAAAGCTTTAGTATGTAAGTTCAATTCTCATAGCATATTTGCTTCTCAGCGTTTAGCAATATTGTGTTTCTAGGCTTTATTTTGAAAGGGAAGCTTTACCAGCAAATTTTTGCAAACGTGCTGTCTGAGGTTTTCATTTCCTCTCCATAGTTTTCCATTTGTGATCTACAAAGACTACCCTTAGACTACCCTGTAGAATTCTGTGAAAGCTAATCAAGTAAAGCAGATATTTACAGATACATATAATTTAGGGGGCTTATGTTTGCCATAAAAAGATCCAAAGCACCACTGGAAAAATGTCCACAAGCAGAAAAAAGATAATTATATATATAAAAACATCACTGTACCCTCTTTATAAATTGGTAGAATTGCATCTTGTCAACAGTTAGAAAAAGTAAAATACTCCAAGAAGTGCATTCTTCTTTCCACATCAATTTCTCATTCTGGATTTAGGATGAACCATTTTCAGGAAATACCATCTTTTGGATAAGGCAATAAACTAATTCCTTGATGACTTAAAGATGTGTTGGATTTCATTACACAGGAAAAACAGTGTTTAAATCCAGGTTTGTGGACAATTTGAGTTTAGGCAAATGTATATTCCAGGTAGTATTTTGCCACTTGTCCTCTAAACTGAAACATGATGTTAATCCTTTAATAGTAGCTTCATTACTCCTTAGTGTGCATGTCCTTTACGTTGTATAAAGTGAGTTGAGATTAAAACATTATAGGAACAATATGGAAAATATTGCTGATGAAATCAGTAAAAGGCCTCAATTAGACTACCTTTACAGGATCACTGCTGAATCAATACGACAGTGTAAAGAATACAATGGAACCTCCATCAAAGTTGCATTTTAAGTACCCAACTGGACAAATATTCACTGATTTTACACTGTTCTATTCAGTAAAGCCAGAGACAGATCAGACCCCATATGAGATGATAATAATACCATACACTGCTTACTTTGATTGGCCTCTGGTTCCAAGTCTTCTTGTCGTTAGCTGTGGAAACTGTTGCCTTATTATCTGCAAATAAATAGAACTGATATTAGAAAAAATTGAAAAGCAAATTTACTACTACTTAATTTATTACAGACTGTTAAGACAGAAAAGCAGAGACCCTGTACAGCAATGTCAGCAAAATACATGGCAGGAGAAATCAGAAATAAAGCTTTTGATTTTTTCCATTACTGAAAAAGGGGAAAGATACTTTAAAATTCAGTATCATTCCATTAACTACTGTTAATTTAAACAAAGACTTTCTGAAGTTACTGGGGTAGAATACATTTCCTTAAAAATCTAAGATCGGTTCTGCCTCCAAGGAGGATTGTATTTAGAATTGACCTACTATTTATTTATGTCAGTTTGCAGGATCAACAGACTTGGTTTTGCTGCAAATAGAGGAAATTCTATTTTTGAGAGTTTTGGCGGCCACAGTTCTTTGAACACCTTCACAATCCTGCCATTAAAGGCACTCCTTTTCTTAAAGGGTGATTCCCTGAAAAGGTTTTGGTATTTGACAGGAGCATCACTTCTACCAGGGACAACTCACTGTTGCATTTGTAAAGATAGCTCATAATCAATTTAGCCTCTATGGAAAACAAGTGCATCTCAGAAACAGCAGAGTATCATCAAGAACCTAGACTACAGTGTGTCAGTAGAAATTGAAAGAACATTGCTAATGTAAAGCAAAACTTCTTCAGTGCCAGGTGCATTTAAGGAAATGTATCAATGAAGGTAGATTGTGCCCTCAGTAATCAGAGCCTCTGTCAAACAGGCTAGTCCTGATGAAAAAGCTCTGCTGTAGCTGCTGGAAAGGCAGTGCTCAGCACCTCACAGAATTGAACCTGATTTTCGGTGTGGTCTTCAGTGGGAGGAAAATTCTTCTGGCAGAACAGCCATGAAAGAGACTGCAGTAAGCCTTGAAGATTCACTTGTAAAAGGAATTTATTTCTTTTTACATTTATAATCTATTTTGTGTTTTCATTATATAAAGTTGATAAAGGTTTCCTCTTTGGTAGGGTAACTGACTAATAGTAAAGGAGAACACACATATAAGATGGAATTTAACTGTTCAACCAGAAGAAAACATCAATTAAAATGTATTAAATAATATAGATTTTTTTTTTTCTCCATGAGCCATTTTGCCACTGTGATAAATATTTAATCCTGATTGATGACTGAAAGCTCTGGAACATGTATTTGGATCAAAAGGTGCTATATAAATAAAGACATTACAATGTCACATATTTGACTATTTCTTCAGTAATTCTTACTTTTTTTTTTTTTTTTTTAACAAATGTAAAATCAGCTTCTCTTTGTATCACATAAAAATTGACCTGTGTTGGTTTCCAAGAGCTTTACACAACGTGGCTGATGTCAAAAACGCAGCATAGACTCAGAGTCGCTAGGTTGTTCAGCTTTAATTTCTGGAGCAAAACTTCAGCAAACAGTAAAACACTTTTGTGGAGCTGTGAAAGTTCAGCCTAGCTGTTTGATAAATGAGCAGACAGGCAAGCAGCCCTTCTTTCTTTTTTTGTATGGATTCAATGAAGCCTGCCTAAAGAACACCACATGCTGTTCCAGCTACTGATCTAACATTCCGCAACATCTCAGCCTTCCAAATTCCCTTTAATTACACATTAATCCCACCCCTCTCTCTTTCATTTTCTGCAGACAGGGTTGGGGGCTCCACAAGGCTGTGGGAAAAAAGGCAGTGCTGAAGAACTACTTTCAGAGGATGGTTTTTATGGGTTAGGGGATTTTTTAATTTAATTTTTTTTTGTGGCAGTTGTCATTCAGAAAATACCATGCCTCTCCAAAACTTGATTTTACAGCAGTAGGCTCAAAAGTAAATCTTAATATTAGAGATACTTTTACCCTATTTTTTCTTTTGGAACAACATGACCCCGTATTACTTTCAAAGTCTTTCTATCAGTGCTGAAGTGTCACAATGCACACTGTAAATGCCACTTTATGAACCATATGTCGTGGGAGTTCCTGGGATTTAAATAAATCAGCCAATTTCTACATACCAGGGCAGACATGATCAGGAAAAAAGAATAATAATGGAGGAGTTGATCAGATGATCCCTTTTTCTTTTCTTTGTTTGTTTCCTTTTAAAATTCAACACATTAATCATGAGATACACCTTTCAGAATACAGCTGAAAAGTATGCATCACTTAAAATATTCTTTACCAATAATTTACAAAAAATAATAATCTAGCAAACCTTTGAGGAAAAAAATCCCAGGACTTTTTGATCTTAATGCTGCATATGTAAAATATGTCTAACATGGCATACTCATGCGTGAGTGCTTGAACACATGAGCATGGATACTTATGTTTGTGTTTGGAATAAAACAAGTCAAGTACTAAATGAAATAGCTGTTCATATAAATGTTTATATTCAGCTACATTTATGTGAATCCCTATGTAATGATATAACCAAAGGCAGTGAGATTTCCCTGAAAGGAGAGAGGAAGTCAGATGAGGCAGGACAAAGTAGAGTTCACTGTGTGCTGAAATCAATAGAAAAAGCAGAGGGTCCAAAAAACTTGTTTTTAAATCACATGTTCAGCCTGAAAATTCACTCAATAAAATACATCATCACTGTGTTTCATGTTCATTAACCTTTAAAGACCTACAGAGAAAATGAGTTAATTTTACAGCTGGGTGGGGAGGTAAGGGGGTTCCTAATTGTCGGACATGAAAAATGAGGTTCAGATCTGAAAACCAAATTGGATCATTTTCCTTTCATCACTGAAGTGGGGTTGTGCAAGCAAACGAATCAAGACCAGACCACGCAGTTTGAACTGCTTTCTGAATGGAGCCCAGTCCCTGTTCTCACAGCAGCAATGGCTTCTCAACAGAAGCAGTGGTAAAAAGATCTCATGGGTGGTATCCAAGGAATTTTGGAGTGAACGGGCCTTTTACCATTGTGCTTCAATGGAACTGAAATTTCATCTCATACTTCTCCAAAGTGACCACAAATCCAGCTGCCATTTGAGATCTGCTGAGTAAAAGGGTACAGGTTTTACATTTTCCAAGTAAAATTCCACCTAAATTATGTGGAAGCATTACTTTATGCTACTTGGCTTTTTAGTTTTGAGACAGATGTAGACCAGAAGTTCCACGTGCAAATAACTTCTGTCCCTAATATAGCAGACTCAGAAACCAATGGTCCTTCAGTTTCTTTCTCAGTTTCTAAACTGCAGTTGTGTTCTCCCTCTTTCCTCTGCTCAAGACTTGATCTTGTCTTCTGCCTATAGAAGATCTTG